TCTCTCTCTCTCTCTCTCTCTCTCTCTCTCTCTCTCTCTCTCTCTCTCTCTCTTACACACGCGCGCGCGCACGTGTTCTTCTTATCAGTGTTTCTCTTCGTCGCACGCATTTTTTTCCTTCTCTCTTGCGCGTAAGACCAATGCAGTACACACGCATTTACAGCACGTTCACGCGCACACACACACACACACACACACACACGCGCGCGTTCACAAACACATGCACACGTATATATTTCCTCGCTTTTCTTCTCGACGACTAATGGTTACGCAAGGTATGCTGGTTGTAGAAACATTCATTTACAACTTGTATACTTGAAGTATCATAGTTATAATGGCTATTACCGAAAGAGAACGATATATAAAGAGTGAGGTTGCGCGAGAAGCCTTTTATTCAAAATGGAATAGTCTGATGGATCTCGTTGCTATGTGAATACATCGTAGACGCGTTTAATTAAAAGAATATACATACGTACAGTTCTCGATTTCGCTAAGAGAGATCGGTAGTATACAATCTATCTTATCTGCACCTAGTCTGAAATCATTTCGTAATGATACAAGTGTCCTCGCGCCACGCGATTTGTTCCGGTGTAAGAAACGTCGGCTTCTTTTTCGTATTATTACACCTATCACGACGATCCGCGTAGACTGTAAATTATTGCTTCGAATGCGAAATTTATTTGCATATATTAAATGATCGATCGGACTCGTTCGTCATCCCTCTTCTCGTCTCAAAAGTCTTCGTTTGTCCCTTCCTTTTTTCCCTCCCGCCCTGCTTGTCCTTGCTCCCCTTCCTCCATCCCGGTGTTACTTGCCAAATATTGCTAACGATTGTAAGAGTGTGTATCTTATTGCCTTTCCTCTTCTCCGCGTTTCCCAAAAGATCGTTGTCATTCGAAGGAACTGATCGCGCATAAGTGACAAAGAACAAGCGTCGATCAGTTTTTATATTATCAATTCTCGCGAACGCTCGGAATCGCACGAGCATTGTGTTTCTTTTCCCCTTTTGTTTGCGTCATCTCCTTTCTCTCTCTCTCTCTCTCTCTTTTTGTTTAATGCGCTAGCCCCGTCCGCGCGCGAAATATCGTGCGTCCTGCCCCGAAATTGATTCTCCCTTCGGCACGAGAAGGGTATCGCGCAACGGGACAGACGAGGAATTCCCTTTAATCGGCTTCCAGTCGATTTTTAATCGACACGACACGATCACCCTCGCTCGTATATAATCGACGAAAGAATAATTGGACGGCATCTGTCCGCGAAGTGCTCGCGCTGCAGCTCGGCCCTAAGAACCGAGAGTGCGCTCGAGTGTCTCGCGAAATATATCGTAATCGAACGTAAGAAACGAGACGGAGGATTGCGACAGAGTCAGCGGAGGATGAAATGATCCGAGGTGGCGAGCAGTAGGAACAAAGTGGCGCACGAAGGCACGGAAGGGAGAGTCGCGCGCGCGCGCGCGCTCGGCGGTGGTTAGTGAGAAAATGCTCTTTTTCCTTCTCTCTCCTGCTTTGATCCTTTTACCGCAAAAGAGCGTAATGAGAGTTACAGCCGAGAAGAATATACACCGTTTCACATCGACGCGTGTCGAACCGCCTTCCTCTCATTTCGTCGACTCGGTATCGGGCGTTCTCGCGAGACAAACGTAAGAGTCGCGCTTGATGAGACCTAACGAACAATGTAAGGAACCGATTCGAAAAATACGATTCAAACAGACCGATCGCGGAGAATCTGAGTGATTTTCATCTTGCACGTAACTTCATCCCGTAATACGCATAATTACGCGAGAGAAAATGTCAGAGACAGAACTCGATAGACTTCATATGATTTTTTCTGGCAACGATGTACTCTAGCGGTGACGGTTCCGAGAAGGATCAATTATTTCATGAAATAATTTGTATCGGAAACGATAACGTTATTTTTCTTTACATCTCGTATTATCGTGCCATCGAGCAGCTCTTAGCGAGAAATTGATTTGCAATAATTCGATATTTATGCGAAAGAAATGACATCAATCGTGTACTTGCGACTCAATGCGAATTGCACGGACTCGCGACGTTTCCGCTTTACTCACCAGTCGCAATAACGCGCGTCTCGAGTGCTTTAATATAAGACATTTTCTGTAGAAACACCAAATCCCGCGCACGATGAGAATAAGCCGTACATCACATTTCGTCGAACGCCGCTCAATATTTCCCTCATAAATTTTTGTTCTGTTAATTGAAACGCATCGATGCACACAAACATGATCTTTCAGAAACTAACAATTCGCTAATCTCACGCAGCCGAGACACCTGCTCGCTAAGAACAATGGGAGAGGAGCGACGGGGTTGGTGAGAGAGGAGGAAAAGGCCAGAGCGAGTCTATCATAATTTGACAGAAAGCGGTGAAACGAAATAACTAAGCATCACATGTCGAGAAACTCTCCTTCGCCTTTATTTTAACGTGACAGTTCATTAAACGAAATAATAATAATAATATTAATAATAAAATAATAATAATAATATAATCAATGAAACTAAGGATAGGCAAAAGAAATCACATTTAAAGCGCGGGGTCGGTAGTTTATCTATCTTGTTTCACATCATTTGTCCTTTGTTCTCGCACGAATCTTTCGTTTCTCTCTACGTGCCCAAATGTAACGAAACGACGGATATCCTTCCATTCATTACCTCACATTTCTCACATATCAGCCGGATATACACTCGATACGAGACGTTTCACCTTATCACCCTGTCAGAACGTACGTATGCGTGTACAATGAAATTTTTCGGTGTACTTGGTCGCGCGTACACGTGTTTGCCTATATTTCTTTTTCTCTTAGTCTGTTCTCCTCTCGTCTCACCACTTTTGGGACGCCCAGAGTCGGCGAGTCGTATGTCATTTCGCAAAAGGAATCCGGTTAGCAAGAAAAGTGATATACCTCGAACGTTCTTTCATACCTTTTATTACCCCTCGCCCCTTCTCTTATTCATTGCCTTATTATCATCTTATACAATAACAACGTAATAGTTTTAAACAACTTGAGCATAGGTGAGGCGCGGACGCGTGACTTCTACGGGATCCGTATTCGTCGACCGAATTCACCGTGATTCGGAGTGGTTCTCTCTCTCTCTTTCCCTTTCTCCTCTATACAAGAACTGGAAACAAATCACAGATTATTAAATCGTTTTTCTTGCCCTTTCTCTTTCCTCCCTTCCTATATAAAATCTACGTCGACAGTTACGGAAATAAAAGCAGAAGAATACGGTTAAAAAATACAAAACTCAACGATCAAGTTCTATATATCCCACATAAACAACATAACTCGATTATAAGCACGATTAGATAAGAATCCCGTAGGAGAACACGTCCGGCGCCGTAACAACAAATTATCTACAATATTTCGCATAAACACTTGTTTATTTTTCATCCCCCCCCTCTCTCTCTCTCTTTCTCTCTCTCCTTCTTTCTTTCTTTCTTCCCTACTCTCTTTCTCTACTTTTTTCTTTCTCTCTCCCTTGCGCGCATACGCACTCGTAACAGATTACATAAGATTACTTAGAATATGAGATAAGGTACTTAGAATATTTTCATTATTAAAGTCTATGTTTTTTTTTCTTTACCTTACACACCTATTAAATGTCGATCAAAATATTAATTAACTAATAGTAATATAATAATAATAATAAATCTAAATAAAAATAATATAATAATAATAATAATAATAATGACGCACAGATGATAATGACGATGATGCCGGTGAGATAATAATTATTTCTTTATTTATGCATTTGTATATATGTATATGCATATATTCTCTTTCTCATGTGCTTATTAATATATGCATATACTTATTGTATTCATTTATGTAGCACCTATGTACAAGGAGGTCTCCGTGCAGCTCTCTTAAAGTGTGTGCGTGATGCTTTTATACTTTGCGTTTTCGCGTATATACGTATGTTTGTATATATATGTATATGTATGTATATATATATTTATATATGTATATAATATATATATATATATATACACATATATATACATATATAAATATATATATATACATATATATACATATATATTCCTATACGCGTTTTGCATTATATCTCTTTATATGCCAGTCTTCGCACTTTCTCACTGGTTTCCTCTCTGCTTTGTTTTATCACTGGTATTTTTGCGCAATTCTCATCATGTAATTGCGTCCTGCAATATGTTTTCCACTCGGTCTATTCGTTCGCTTCGGGTTCATTACGACACGACATTTGCATTCATCTCGTCCTATCATACGTACGTTTAATTTTTATTCGTTAGTCCACCGCCTAATTCAAATTTTGTGCATTTCCCTCGACTTATTTGTCTTCCAAGACGATCTGTTTGGTGGGTCGCAACAGAATCCGAAATTAATTAAAACTCGAGTAGCCGCAACGTAACGAGAAATGTAATTTCGGTGGAAATTTCGCAAGCTATATACTCTCTCGATTAAATTCGTTAACATAGTTAATGCGATTTTGCATCGATGAAAATCAAAACGGGTTCATCGGGAGTTATCTGCGTTTCTCGTTGGAATCTACATCGAGAGAAATACCTGCACGCAGTTTCTCAAAAAACGAAAGAAAAAGATGTAAAATCAACTCAATCGAATTTCTCGTTTAACTTCGCCTCTACCTCAAAGGCAACACACATATCGTAAAATCAAATCGACTAAAATTTCTCGCTTAAGCGTGAGCTTTTGGAATCTATTTGGTCTCGTAAACGGATCCGTTGGAAGTGCGCGGCGTCTTCCGAGGTAGGAGTACGTCCCAATGAATCGTCATTGGGACGTAGCCTCGAGGTGCTCTTTCGACAAGTATCCTCGTGTACGGAAAAATAAGGAACATAAGCGAAAAAAAATACGTAAAAAAGAAATATAAAAAGCAAGAACGTAAAAGAGGGAGCGCGTAATTAACTTAAACTTAGGATAATTTTTCGAATTTGCGAAAAGCAACAATACCACTCGACGTCTCAATCGTAGAACCTGATTAAAGAAAACCTGAATGACGGGAGATATAGCGAGGCACGTTCGAGACGTACGTCTGGTTGCAGAACGGATTAGACACAATAAATTAAAGTGCTCATCAAACTATCACGATGGAGCCATTGACAGGCTCGCACGGTAGCTCGACACGCGTTGCACATTTTGATCGCGCCGAGTCGTCATAATTAAGAATCGCTACTGACTAGGCTGACGCAGTAATCGGTTATGACAGGAGCCTATGTGACGATACATGATGTAAGATATTGACCTTTTACTATCTTTTTTTTTTGTTTTTTGAAAAAAATAATAAAAATTTTACGTTTTAAAAAAAAAGATAAGAATTCTGCGTTGCGCTGTAATGACGTCAAATGTCTCGTACGTTGTCACTTCAGTTCCTCTTATAATCCAGAGCTCGGCATACAGTGTACATTCGACCGATCTTTGATTTGCTCCGCCTAGCGCTATTCCTTTTACCTCATCGCCCCGCACACAACTTGCTCGACATTCAGGAGCGTATGACTTGCAAACATGTTTCTAATAGTGAAAAGCTATTAGAAACATATGTTTACAAGTCATACGCTACTGAGTCTCGAGCAGCTCGCAGGTTGCGCACAGGGCGATGAGATAAGGGAAATAACGCTAGACGGATCAAGTTGAAAATCGGTCGAGTGTATAATGCATGCCGAGTTCTGGATTATAAGAAGATTGTACGACAATATACGAAACGTTCGACGTCACCGCTGCAACGCAAAATTCTTATCTCTTTTTTAAAACGTATTAATATTTTTATTTAATACTTTTATTATTTAATTAAATACTATTATTATTTAATATTTTATTATCTTTCAAAGACAAGAGAATAATGAAAGACCAATATTTACCGTGTACCGTCACATAAACTCCTGTCATGACGATTATTGCGTCAGCCTAGTCAATAACGACTCTTAATCATGACGATTCCATCGCGTCTAAACCGTCTCGCGAGCAAAGTTATAGACCGTCGACCCTCGCGAAACCGTCACGAGCGAATTTCTGGAGTAATGATTCATGATTATATCTCTTCGTGAGGGATGGAAATCATCGGATACTGTTTCATCAATGGGAGAAATGACTTCGATATCCGTTCACGACTACCATACTCTTTGACCGATTGGTCGATAAACATAGGACGCAGCCGGCCTCACATCGGCCCACTCGTTCGCTCATCGCCGGGGATCGTCGCGCAAAGACCATACTTTCTAACATTATGAAAGTGTATCGTCCACACATGGGATACAAGTTAATCCACGTGCTCCACTTTATCATTCGGACGTCACTCCTAAACGGCTAGCGTCAGATCGTAGGATTACTTCGGGGCGAATGCGTATTGATGGAACTTTCTCGTTCGTAATTGGCACGCACGACCGACGGCGAGAACGCCGGCGTGCCGAGAAGCGTGGGGAATCTGAGAGAGTCCGGTAAATCGATTGTACGGCTAGAGAAATTGGATTTTCACAGCTGCGGCATAACGAAACGCGTCTCGCCTGCGCGATCACCGTATGAGATTGTCGGCAGTCCGATCGTACTGATTCGTAAGCCGATCTCATCGGATATAGCTTGTCGGGAGAGTCAATGCGGCTCTCGGAAACAACGTCAGTCTTATTACGCTGCGGAATGTAACTGAACTCCAGCTTTGGTCAAATGCTGCGACAAGAAGTCGCTTAAATATTCTAAATAATGCATGCGAAAGAGGTCGCTTAAACATACTAAATTGTCGTGCGAAGGAAATCGCTTAAACATCCTAAATCAATGAGCGAAAGAAGTCGCTTAAATTCTCTGAATCATTGTGCGAAGAAAGTCGCTTAAGCGTTCCAAATCATCGTTAATCGCATGTCACCAATTTCAATGCCAATCGAGATACTCGCGAGATGAGCTACATCGAGTGGTTATTGCTGCGCCGGAACCGACAAAATTTCGCGGATCGGCCACTTACTTGTTATACGGGCTTCTTCATCCCAACATGGCGACCGATCTAAAAGAACAAAGTTTCAAAGTCTGAACATCTGTCCCGAATGCAACAACTAATACCTTGTTTGGTAGTTTGGCCGGCGCGTGCTCGCGCATCAATAAAACAATTGATGCGCGATCAAAATACGAAATCGTAGCCAAGAACCGTACTTCTTACAGTCGCTGCTTGATACTTATCTTCACCGCGTCCGATAAATCAACCTCAAATCTCAACTTAGAATTAGATCCTTTTCAGCTGGGTGGTACGATACGCATTCGACTGAAAAACGCTTCCAACTCTAAGCGAGAGACAAGTTTCAAGCAACTACTGACGGATGCGGGGCTAAGACATTATAGGAGGAGAAAAGACGAAAGAAGGCGAGCAACATTAAAAAAAAAAAAGAAGAAAAGGGAGAGAGGTGTATGTTTCCTCGAAATTCTGTCTCGATCTTTGAGCGTACATATGACGGATCGATCCCGCCTCGCATATCTTACCTATTTTCTAGTGTGACGGTGTCCATCGTACGCATTTCTCCGTTAGAAGATCACGATGAGATCTTCCCGTCGCTCTTACGTACCCGTGCGTGTGTGTGTATGTGTGTGTATGCACACGCGTGCGCGCGCGTCACACGCGAAACAAGGTTAAACACTAGCGAGCACCGCCAAAAGTCTCGGAGGTCTCGTTTTTTGTGAAGCTCGTGCGCGCACGCGCGCGCGTGTCACCTTGTGGAAAATAAATTAGACGGGTAAAAGAGGAGATCATGGGGGTAGGTAGGGGTGACGATCGAGTCGAGCGGAGTGAAAGGAGAGGAAAGGAGAAGGTTGGGCGGGAATAGCGAGCGTGAACCGCGTCGTGTCGTCACAGAAAGCAAAAGAAAAAAAAAGGAAAAGGGGGAAACTAAGGGACTGGGAGCGTAGTGGAAAACGTGTGCTTTCTTAAGCTAATCTCCAAGTCCGGCCGAAGTTACTGCTTCTCCTTGAGACCACCCAACAGCGCGTGACTCTCCATCGTGGCACTGAGATTGCTGAGATTGCTCAGATTCCCCAGATTCCCCAGGTTGCCGAGATTGCCAAGGTTCGGCTGATGGGCGTAATTCCTGATCTGGTGGAGGCTGATCAGCTGATTCGGGAAGGACGTAGCGTTCTGGTTGCTAGTGGTGCCGGGCGCTACGCCGGACGACGAGGACGTAGGCGACGACTTCTGCGTCGTGTTGAACGCCTCGTAGAGATACGGCCGTGACGCGGGATGATGCCCACCGGGATAGTGTAGGTGGTTGAGGGGATTCAGGGGGTGTTGCATGGAGGAGATCGAGTTGATCGAGATCGAGGAGATCGGCGTGAAGGCCGAGCTGCTGTTGGGGTGATGATTCGCGCCTGGTTGCGGCGTCTGTTGCCTCGAGTCGTTTTCGATCGACTCGCCGCGGTGGCCCGGCCCGTGTCCCGGTAACAGCATCTCCGGATTCTGATTCTGGTGGTACTCCCCGTGATGATGTGGCAGCCTGTCGTGCAAGTCGCCGATGACCGAGTCCGGGCTGACTTTTGGCCAATAATGGTCTTGGTGGTGGGCGGTCATCGCGTGTATCGACGGTCGAAGGCCGGTGCCGATGATTGGCGGTCTCTTGTCGGTACGTTCGGCGTGTTTCTGCATGTGCTTGGCTAGATACGTCTCCTGCGTGTAACTCTTGCCGCAGTACTGGCAGATGTGCGTCTTGAGGTGCTTCGACTCCTTGTGCTTCGGTATGTGCTCGAGCAGACTCGGCTCGTCGGAGAAGCACTTGTAGCAGGAATTACACTTGTACGGTTTGTCGGTTTGGTGGCACCGCGAGTGGCTCTGCAGGTTACTCAATTGGCTGAACGCCTTCGTGCAACCCTGATGCCGGCACTTGTACGGCTTGTCGCCGGTGTGCGTGCGGATATGCTGCTGTAGATGGCTCAGCTGGGTGAACTTCCGCTGGCAGATCTCACAGCGGTACGGCTTAATGCCCAGGTGGATCCTCGTGTGCTGAGACAGGTACGAGGAGTTGGCGAACGCCTTCGAGCACTGCGTGCATTTGTACGGCTTCGCCTCGCGCATGTGAATCTGTGTGTGCAGTTGCAGGTCCGCCTTGCTACCGAATATCTGCAAGAAGAAAACAGACACTTTGCTGTCAAAGTGAGAGAGAGAAAAGAGGGAGAGGAAAATAGGACAGCGGTGTTGGCGAACGAGAGACGGTGCGCGTCGATCTCGGCGACTCGCGTCTCGATCGAGGCGGACCGATTTTCCTTATCCGAAATGCAAATTGCGATACCCCCGCGGCGAGCTAGACGCGTCGACAGAAACGCACTTCGGACTAGCGTGTCTTTTGCATTTTTTACGGCAACGTCCTGACGGAACAGGCGACGACGCGGGAAAGGGATCCGGTTCACGGTGATCTCCATTGCCACGACGACGTCCGTTTCCCTCTCGTTTCCACCGGTCGGTCAGGTAGCCGCGTTTCAAGCACAGGCGCCGCGCGCGCTATATTTATAAATAAATAAATAAACGTAAAAGGGAGCACCGTGTGCCAGTAGCCCGAGCATATATACGAAGCGGGGAGAGGCTGACCTTGTCTATCATGGCCTAGCCTCGAGGCATACCCGACCGACTGGCTTCGGGTACCGCGTGCAAGTCCCCCCTCCGCGTACACTCTCGTTCACTCGCTCTCTCCCTCCTTCACTTCTTCGTTTTGTCTCTTCCTTCATCCTCCTTCGCCCCCCTAGCTCCTGCCGCTGCCTCCCTCCTCTCTCTCTCTCTCTCTCTTAGAGTTCTTCGCACGCTAGTTTCTAGTTTCTCTCTGACCTCTCTCTCCCCCCCACCCTTCTCTCTCTCTTTACTCGGACTTTTTATATTTCTTTTCACAGCAGCATTGGAATAGGCAGCGGCGAGCACAATCGTCACACGACGATCGGCGATCATTAGCGCCTGTCCTTCCCGATGTATATCCTCGCGAATACTTGGCGCGAGACGCGTCCGCTCTCTTATCGTTGACGTATCTCGCACGTCGACGCGCTTTTGCGAATCGCGAGCGCGAATATTTTAATATATTAATCGCGATCGCGTAAACATCGTTGCCATATCGTCGGACACGGAGAGATCGGGACATACAATGGCCGCAAATTAAAATATTCTTTTCTCCTTCCGCCGCGCGTCTCTCAGCGTCTTTACCTTTACAGGCGCGATCGATCGACGGGAGAAGATGGAGAAGAAGCGCGGCGCAAAGTCGTCCCGGTCTGCTAAGGTCTACGGGGATAATCGGCGCGCCTATCCCGCTATTTTCGACCCGTGTGTGTATACAGTTCCTGCTTTCTTTCGAAATTCCCGTTTCCCGCCCGTCCACGGTGGGTCGCGCTAATGCCGCTAAAACGTCTCATTCATCCGTAATAACGCGCGCATCATTACCGAATAATAACGCCGGTCACGAGATTCGTGATGCCCCGGCGTGGTAACGATCGTGCGCGGGTATTTGGCTTCGTGGAAAGGGCAGCGAATTGTCTTCCGACGCCGGTGGACGAAGGTATCGCACCGGAATGACGTGTCGGCCGGAGTCGAAGAAACGATCCTGAACACGCGAAGAGCGACGTGAACGGAGCCAGTTTCCCGGCATCGCTCCGTTCCGACCGAGGTTATTACGTAAAACGACGGGTTCCTTTCCAAGATAGTTGTACGCCACGCCCGGGGATCTAGGGCGATTCGGGTCCTTCGCACGGCAAGGGTACGAAGGATGGCTCTCGTTACCGCGTCCGACGGAAGAACTCGTTATCTCCCCGGGCTTGGCGGATCGCGCATCGTACTTCATGACTCGACCGAACAAAAATGAGATTAGATGGATTATTGAGCGATTGAGCGGACCGCGCAGATCGAACTCATTTCGTTTATGCTCCTCGGAGATGTGTGCTTGCGCTGGGAAAAGAATGTTTGGTGTTTATAACTATAATCACACATATAAAAATATGTTATTATGAATTATAGTCAAGAAAATCATTTCTTCTAATTTAATTCTATTTAAAATCATTTCTTCTAATTAAATTCTACTTTAAAGTTAGTGATAATAATCTCATATACGTATTACTACGCATTTTTTCGTGTTGGTACAACCAAAAGATATGGTTGAGGCCAAACACAACTCTAATTTTAGCTAGATCGACCATTTTCTTTCTACCAGAATGGTATATTGGATTAGATTGATGCGGAAAGGTTCATTAAATAAACTTGATTAGAAATTTATTCCATGATCCTGATGAGGTTGATCCTAATCTGATTTACACAAGGTGATGTTATCGGGCCTTGATAAGTTATGTAACGCAGCGTAGTAATCAGAACCTTATTAATAACGATTATTAATAATTAAGATTTCATTAATAATTAGAATCTAATAATTTGATTTGCACCTTATGCAAACTAGATAACTGATTGAGATTAGCCTGATCAGAACTATGGGATAAATTTCTGATCGGGAAATAGAAGATTGAATTGTTCAATTTCAAAGGATTAATCATTTTTACGAATAAAATAGGTAACATAGACAACTTTTTTCGAGATTTAACAAGGATTTTCTGTTTTCATTTTTAATAGTCGCACTTCTAACGTGAAAATTTACTTATTTAATATAACTTGATTGTTTAATAAAAAATTTTATAAAAAATTTATTTATTCAATAGAAAGAATGACAAAACTTTTGCATGAAAGTAATATTGCCGAGCGCTGTGCTCGTAATTATTCGTGCGATTATTCGTGCGAGCAGGATTCGCTTCCGAGTCCGAGTTCTTGACCCCGTTAATTGTGCCAATCTTTTTAACGTCATTATATAATACCGACCTTTTGTACTCGGAATTTGAAACTCGTTTGGCCGGCTATAACGTTAGCCACGTGACGAAGGCGATAAACGTGGCGTCGTACCTCCAGTATTCCGGATTCATCACGTTTCGAATTTTATATTTTATGATTCTCGAACCTCGCGTGTTTTTTTTTTATTTAACGGAGGCAGAAGGAGCCGATAATCTAGGCACATCAACGGCAAGCCGGATAACGATCGCTTTACGGTTGTCGTGGATCGTGATTTATTCGGTAATCGATCGACGGTCTCGCTCGAGGCATCAACGGCTGAGTTGGCGCGTCCTTTAACGGGTTGGAGAGCTGCTATTTTTTTATTTCCTCCTTTCGAAACGCGTCCTTGCCGGTGTCAAGTTCGCGCATAGTCCACGTAACACGATAGTCTGCCGCGCATCGTTTTTTTCTTTTCGTTTCTTTAGCGCGGCAGGCAAATGAGAGAATCCGAGGGACACGAGAACAATTAGAGAAGACGAGGAGAGCAGACGAACAGAGGAAGTATTTACGTTATCGAGGTATAAGTTATCAGGGATCGCGTAATGATGCATTTTCCGCCGCGATCTCGTTAGCTCGCGTCGCCGTTTCTCCCTTTTCTCTTCCCTCTCGCTAGCATCTCGCAGTAGAAGGCACCATGGCAATTTTGCAATTCCTCTCGCGGGGCAACGCCGAGACGTTAATTCGCGCAGGGAGGTCGATAAACTTTGAGGTATTTTTTGTGCTTCGGGCGCGTTTAGTGTCTTCGCCGCGAACTATTGCGTTCGATGGAATGAGCGATTAGCTCGAACCAAAGGCTCATCCTGTTGGCGGTTAATGCTGCCAACTCCTCGTTTGGCCGGATACAAATCGCACCAGATGTTCAATGAATCAGTAAGTCGATACGGATAATTGATAGGAAATTTTAGAACGAACGATCCTCTTTGAACGAGACTACGATTGTTGTTCGGCATCGCGGGAATCGCGGTATTTTTTCACGATGGAGGTGATTTCCCCCCCTCTCTCTCTCTCTCTCTTTCTCTCTCTCTATATCTCTATCTCTTTTGGAACTAACCACGAATAGGGAAACCACGAATGAGATCGTGACGTGTAGAAAAGTGACGGCTGCAAGTTTGGCTGCACTTGAAATTAAATTTTGCCTCCTCAGCTTTATTCATTTATTTAATTGCAAAATGTCTGAGAGAGAATCGAGACGAGCGCGCGCTGATTGACAGACTGAATGCTTGCGCATAGATATCTGGCCGCGCGCGCGAGACTCGAAGGAGATCTCTCTCGCTCTCTTGTTTCGTTCACAACGGGCTTGATTCAATTAAAGAATTTCTCTCGATGCAAATCGTGACGGCGCCAAATAAAAATTGGCGGTCGTAATTGACAGGATGCACTTAAACGACTGCCGCGCGGCGACTTATATCAGGCAGATTTGAAGGAAATTCCGCCGAAAGAAATTCCGAGTTATGTGTTTAACCGTCCGTAATGCGAGCACGACGCCGGCAAAACGGCGCTATGCGACGCGACGGCTCGAAGTAGTCCCGCTGAATTAAACCGGACAACCGGAATCTCACGCCTCTCTCTCTCTCTCCCCTCTCCCTCTCCCTCTATTTGTCTCTTTCCTGGGCGAGATGCGCCTTCAAGAGAAATAATGGCGATAAATCCAGAAATTACGTCGGCCTGGACTGCGCGCAGGTATGCGAAATTAGCGCCTCTAATTACGAAAGCGTCGAGGAACTATGCCCGCTGGGCAACCGGCTAGTCCTCCTGTCATTTCTGATTAATCGACGTCGATTTACTTAGGCAATACTTAAGAAGCCGAGACGAAGTACATTTGCCGTGACGCGGCCACGGTGTATAAATCGTACGCTCGTCCGGGATCATCATCAGGGGGAATTTAGAAGCGCGGGACTAGGCTGCACCGTGTTAAATTCTCAAATAGGAATTAACATTTTCAACGTTGTTGTTGATCTTAATGACCGGTGAGCCACGGCTCTCTCGGTGTGTGCCCGACGCGTTACCGTGTAAAATTCGTTTCCCCTCCGCGCGAGCGAGCGCTCTCGCGCTCTTTTCCTCGCGAACCTTTTGACGCAGCAGTGATTAATTGCCGCGTGCCCCCTCCGTCTCGTATCAATGGCGATCAATTGATATACACATATATGTACACGTATATTTATTTACTTATTTATTCTGTGTCTCTGAAAGAGCTCGCGAGTCGGCGTGATCGCGACGTTTCGTCACTCGATACCGTTTATAGAGCTGTGCTTCGTGATGGATGACCGCGTATTTCG